TCAATGCCATTTGAGGTGTTCCAGGGGGTGACCCTCACTGACACACAGCTCCTCCTCCAGAAAAGTTCTGTTTCCCAGCAGGTCCTGTGTCCTATCTGCTAGACCCCATGTGCCCTCTCAAACAGCAGTAGATGCCTAAGGAATGGAAAAATGAATACAGACCTGGGTGCCTACATTTGACCAGATGAACCCCATTCACACAGTCTGTCCAAATAACCATGGGTTTAGACACAGATTTCAAGTCCTCTTGGGAAGGACTTGATATATGAAGCACTTCCTATGTCTGTGGTTTATGCAAAACAATAACCTGCTGCAGAAATGAAGTTTTCTTCAATGAGAAGAGAGAACAAGTGAGATCCATCTCCCTACCTTGGCAGAAAGGAGGGTAATGAGGAAGCATAACCCCTTTCCATCACTGTTTGCCCATATTCAAGGGCATGAGGAGGCACAGATCACATGTGCTCCTCAGCAGTGTGGATTGGAGATTTATGGTGCAAGCACACTTGCAGCATGATCCACATCAGCACGTGCTCCAAGAAGGGCTGCAGAAACACTAAAGTTGGTTTGTACAAGTCCCTCATAATTGTCATGTGTGAGCATCTCAGAACACTTAATGGCCTTATCTTTACAATGTTTCCATGAGATAAGAAACTATGAGATGACTCCGTTTTCCTGTCTCTTTTATTATAGTCATCTATTGCTGCAAAATTGTCAGAGTACCGGTACAAGGCCTGAAAACAGGAACACTCCAAGTGTTGAAGAAATTGCCTGAACACTTGAACTGTTCAAGAGGAACCTCTGAGCAGACTGACGTTTTAGAGAAAAATAAACAAAAAAAGCAAAGCAAAACACTACATTACATCATACTCCATGTTATGAAATACTTTATGCTACATTTAAAAAAATAAGAAAAGAAAAATCATCTTTGAACTTTGTATTCATTTCAACACTTTTGATTTTAAAATCTGGAAAAAAATCTTCTGTATTTAGAACTTCACATGAGCAGCTAGAAAATTCATAATGAATCAGACAAGGTTAACAAAGTTTATGTATTTTGTTATGCAACTATTTTTTTGGATGGATGGATTTATGAATTACAACAGGGGAGGGATTGATCTACATTTGTAATCTTTCTCAATTTTAGCAAGCATTAAAATTAAAGCTGTGATCATATTGATTAGAACATCAGACTCAATTGCAGTATGATAATTGGGGTTAATGCTAAACAAATAACTTTATTACATTAATCTAAACATAGAGCCTGAAGTATTAGAAGATACAAACTAGCCACTGAAAGTAAGGGAGAAATTAATATCTTATTCTGTTTGTACACTGATTTGCCTGCCCACCCTCTGTCCCTCACTACAGACTGACAGTTTTCTCATCAGGGAGTTTTCCTTTTTTTTTTTTTGGCCAAATTTGGAACCAGCACCAAAGACAGGCTACCAAGGGCCTTAAGTATATGCATGATTTCACTTCAGATCTGAGGAATGCAGACTCAGTGGGATGGCACACTGGCAGAGCTAAAAGGATGTTCTGCTGTTACTTGTAGGAATCTACTGAGGTAAATTAGCTACTGAAAGCTTTGGTTTTTCTCTGAGTGGATCAAATCTTGCTGAAAATATTTGAGAGGAAATAACCAGAAATTACCTGAACTCAAATTCAATAGTTAAGAACAAAACAAAATTTCCATTAATTTACTGTAATAGTCATGAGTACAAGATTTCCTGTAATAATTAGCAACCACTAGTCAGCATTTAATAATTTAAAAAATACTAAAAATTATAATGAAAATTAAAAAAAATGAAATTTGACAATGTCAGATAAGAAAAAGGTATTTTAGTTTGCCTACCTATAAAAACAGCCACAAGATCAGACATAAATGAAGTCTGTGTATAGACAGCACAATTTGAATTAATTAAGCCTTTTTTTCTCCACTTCTCAAATTCTGACGCCTCATGATTTAGAGATACCAGAAGGGACATTAATATATTTATTGCATTCTTTGAAAAGCATTATTTTCATGTATCATTATGTTCTTCAGCTAAATATAGAAGCCTACCATTATCTCACAACAAGAGACTAACTCTTTTGGAAAAAGAGTCACTATTTGAAAGACAAAATATAACTTCAGAATTAGTAGACATATAGTTATACACCTATTAATACATATCTGTCTATAGGCAGTACGATTTTGAACACTTACTAACAAATTCAAAAGACATTAAAAGTTTTCTTTATCAGACAGAGTAATTTCTTTGTTTTGTGACCAAAGATTTTTGACATTTTGTCCAAGTATCGAACAGAATATCATCTCGGCTCCAACCTATAATGTTTATTTATTGTCCTGGATATCACTGAATGTATCACTGAATGCAACACTTGCATGTCAAATTCAGAGTGGAATAGGGTGATGCAATGCAAATATTTCTGCCTAAAAGACAAATAGCACAATTCAGTTGCACAGAAAGGTAAATGAGAATTGCAGAGGAGACTTACT